GGCTGCTGTAGACCAACGCCGATTGTTCGGCCATTGGTAGCGGATCTTAAGGCTTCATAACCCGCTGTCTGATAGCTAGTGCCGGTTTGTGAGCCACGCCAATCCTGAATGGTTTCAGCAGTCTTGCAGTCGCCCCTGAGACATTCTTCACATAGGGAATTGACAGCCAGAACTTCGGTTTCTCCTCGGTCGGGATTGGCGTGGCTCACAAACCGGCACTAAATATCCTTGGTGAGGAAATAAAGTCGCTGGTACAACCACTTTGAGAGCCCAAAGGTTGGGGTGCCACGTAATAAGACGACGGCGCGTAGGGTCACTCCTGACTTGTGAACTGGCCACAAAAGCCACTGATGCCGCGATGGCGCTCTTCTACGGTCTGCCAAAAGTCCACAAGTCAGGAGTGCCCATACGCCCCGTCGTCTTATTACGTGCCACCCCAACCTTTGGGCGGTCAAAGTGGTTGTACCAGCAATTTTCTATCCTGACGTTTCAAAAGCGACAGGCTTCCTTCACCAGAGGTAAGAGTTGTACCGCGCCCCACAGTATTTGTAGTAAGTGACAGCCATAGTCAATAGAGTTAAGCCAATGCAGGGGAGGGGTCGGGGCATGGGAGGGATGCTCAATCATCGACGCCTCGAGGCGGATTAAACTCAGTCAAGGGGTCTACCGTTGGGTTCTTCTGTTTGCACTTGTGAAGCTGTCGTCGACCTAAGCTGTCGTCCCACGCTGGTGATTCTGTTTGTGTTCACACGCCCATCCGGTTTCCCACCTGCAGAATGTGCGAATTAAGCGGCTGAGCTGATGATTTCTCCTTCCGGTTGTGGTGCGACTAAGTGTGTGTCCACAATGGACTCACAAGGGCCAGGATTTCCGTCGGATTCTGTTGTTCGCCCATGTGCAGCTGTCATCAACCTGCGCTTGAGGTTGCGCTGCTGTTCACCCGTTCGAAAACCGATGTTAATACCCACCCTTCCACCATTGAATCATATCTCAGCACAGTATCTGAGCATAGGAACTGAGACAGATGAGGAAGGGTGTGATAGCGTAAACCACTTCAACAGATTCATCCCATCGATAGTTGTTGGGTGCATTAACAACCCGTCGGAATTTATTGAACTATTTACATTAATTAATCGGAGAATCCTGGTTAAAGCATTATATTCTAGAACCGGTACCGCCTGTATATGTCAAACCATATGTTAAGGCCAGAGGTATGGTTTAGAGCTCGCTATGCACATTCTGACGTCTTTCTTGCAAATACAGGGTGTCCCGAAAAATGTATACACATTTTAACTAATTGTAAACTTGGTGTTTATTGTAATTTTATTATTTCAAAAATTTAAAACTATTTACAAGTACAATTTTATTGTTTTTGCACTGCATGCTCTCAAACTGACGTCCATTTAATTCACACACTGCTGACAGCGCGAAGCAATGGAATTGCACACACCATGAAACAATTCCACTCGTATTTGGGAGCATTCATGTTTAATAGTTTCTATCTATCTCAATACTTTAAAATATAGTCAAAATGCAGTTTAAAAATAATAAAGTGATATTTTAAAATACTTTTACGTTTTTGCAATGATAAAATTATTATAAACGTCAAGGTTACAATTGCTCAAAATGTGTATACATTCTTTTGGGACACTGTATAATATTTATGTTTAAGCTGTGTTGCCCAAAGGTGGTCCTAGTCCAGAAACGCTATTAAATGATTGAATAAGACTGAAGTGACCTCCTTTCCCCAGTCTATTTTGTGAGATTACATAAATTAAGATAACTGCTGTCACTAAAACCGAAATTGCAATTATGGCAGCTAGAACCTATGACAAACAAGAACAGGTAAATGCTTGGCATCGGAAAAGCAGTAGGTATGGTAATATCAAGGATAGTAATATTATCCTCCAAACCAATAAGACTAATCGAAACGTCGTTGTCCTGTCAGTTTCATGTGGAATGCAGTCATGGTTCTTTATTTTTTCAGGGCAATGGAAGTTGGCGACCCTACGCTCACATAGATTCCTTCTGTTTGTTAAGATTTTAATCAGATGAACCTTTCAACCTTGACTCCATACTCCCTAATTATTGAATCACACTTTCAGACAACAAAGTTTCAGAAATTTTTAATTGTGCGAAAATTGTCATACTACTGAATATCATTAATCAACCCTTCCATCTTGAACTGAGACGTAGGAACCACGCCTTCCCATTAGCCCGAAAGCGCACAATCCATGTCACTTGCGTCTAAGATAACTCTCGGGGCTTCTTGCTTGGTAACAGCTGCCACGATTGCTTATGTGCATATCGAACAAGCATTAGAACGCGAAGTAAGCTTATTTTCGCCCCTTAAATGTTAGTAGCGTGTCAGTGCCACTGTCAGAAAAGAAATTGAAGCATCTAAAGCTCTGATTAAAGACCATTTAGAGGAGCCCGCGTATGTCAAAATTATTCTTATGTTTCTCAGAATTGCCGACATTACATCCAAACCCCCAGGATAAGCAGTTCAATGGAAGTCACGAAAGACTGCAACTTGATGAGAATCGAGCTCCCCTTCCCAAACCCGAAAGCAGCACTTGTTGCTTACAGGGCCCTCGCCGTTGACCCTCCCCCTCCGAGGTCCACTATAAACATAAATTCTTTTGTGCGCGACAGTTCGATAATTGCCGAATTTTCACCAGCTTCAGATGCGAGTGAACCGAATTCACTTTCACAATTGAAAAAGTTGCGAACCGCTGTCAGTTCATGGCTCGAATTAACCTATCTCACTCGTGAAACTATGGCTGTCTTTGGCTACCC